CCTGGAGCCTTCTCTGGATTCTGTCTCCCTCTCTCTCTGCCCCTTCCCCGCTAGCTCGCTCTCTCTCTCTCTCTCTCTCTCTCGCTCTCTCTCAAAAATAAATAAACATTAAAAACAATTCTGGACAGCACAAATCACAGAACATTCCTGTAGCTGACAAAGTTCTGCTGGACAGCACTGCCTCAGACATTCTACAGACTTTCACAGTTCCAGTCTTTCATCCTTCTATTCAGTTACAGCTCTCCTCCAGTACCAAGCCATTCCCAGGTCTAACACAGCAAGCAAATCAACCTTCTTCGTGTTGCCCTCTCCCATAGCAGACCCAAGTTCCAGCTTTCCCCTGCGCTGCTAAGGCAGCTACTACCAGGACACCAGGCAGCCTTCATTTGAATTAGAAAAGGCATCCTCTTTGGAATGAGTGGAATGTACCTTTGTAGAAAGAAAAAGGCAACCCTTCTTCTGGAGCAGAGCGCCTGCTGGCATCTCACTGCCACGTGCCTCCTCGGCCAGATCCTCTCGTGCCAGTGTAAGTAAAGACCCCAGTTCCCACTATTTCATCTACCTTCCATGTTCCAAAATTCTGTTGCCATCCCTCCCCTGCTGCCCTCTTCCCTCTCATTCTCTGGCCTTATTATGGGTTTATATCTTGGTACATTCCTTTACTGTCATTTTAGTAGATTCCATATGGATTGAATCCTCAAACTAAAAGGCTGAATTAATTCTTTTCCACTTGTATCTTGTTCTTTCTGTTAGGATTCCATCTATCAGTGTTGAGAATGCGTTCCAATCAATCATACAACAAAAAGTCAAGTAGATACATACCCGAGTAGGATAGAGGCAGAGACCCTCCACAGTCTATGTTTTTAAAGGAACGCTGACAAACAGAATTACGCATCTGGGCACTCTAAATTCTGTGCTCCAGAAGCGAAACTAAAACTCCTACCAAAGTGAAAAAGTCACTTCGCAGAAAAACTCCTTTGGCCAAGAAGGCCTCAACAACGAATTGACTCCTCATTCTGATGCTTTCTGATTTAGCAATCTGATGGATAATTATGAAGAAAAACAGAAGGAACACGTACTGTATTTTTATTACAAACCTGTGCCGGTGGTACTTGCAATGGATTATTATCCAAAATCATTACTTGCAAATGATGCAGCTTCCTGTAACAAACTGGAATTTCGGTCACTTTATTACAGGAGAAATCCAGCTTGACTAAGGGAAGATCTCCTAATTCTGTTCAGAAATGAAAAATAATTAAATTACATTGCATATAGTTGCTCTCTTGTTCATTTCAGTAAAAAGAATGAGCATCTTACCATCTGGCAACACGTGAAGATTGTTTCTTCTGATATTTAGCTCTCTAAGTGAATGTAATTTTCCCATTTGTTGGGGAAGGACCTGAATCTCATTGCAGCTGATATCCTAAGGAAAATAAGAAAATAAAATGATGACAAACTAACTGAGAAATACAGACATATTTCCATTTTCAAATTAAAGCACATGGCTAATAGCAAAAGCTACCTCAAATGTTGTTTCTCTGAAAATGGATTATCTGGCAGATTTCTATTAATGTTTCATCATAAAGTCAAGGTGGCACAGTTAAATTTTTCCGTGCAAAACTGTGAATAATAACTTAGGACTACATAATTCAGCCTTTTGAAAATCGCAGCTGAAGACTACTCTCACCAGCCAAAACCAGAAGTAAGGATAATCCAGGCACTCCTCATTCAGAGGTAAAATAAAAAACAACGATCAATCACTTTGATAATGTGTCAATTATGGTAGTTTTGAATTACTCTGTTGGACAGAAGCTGAGAAAGTCAAGGATTTACAGACGTGAGCTGGAGAACCAAAGGCTATGGTCAGAATCAATTTAAACCTCTTTCTTTCTCAACGGGACACAAAATATGAGGGGTTACAAGCTCAAAATCTTGTGGCTCACATCATAACGCAAAGACTTTCCAGGAGATCTGAATCAGAAATGTCTCAAGGTTAAATTAAAATGCAAGTTCCTGATTTAAAGGTAAATGACACCACTTTCCCATAACAGGAGACAGCTGAAAGTAACTGTGCTCTCCTCTTCCTCCCCTCAAAGAAAAATCTGCAGCGTGAGCTCATACAGCAATCATTCCAGACACACGGCAAATGAAATTCACATTCTTCTGCAACTTCTTCCAATTTCCAGCTTTCACTGGAAATGATATTAGCTTGAAGGGAACAGAGTGGCACATATATTCAGTTTTATCAAAAATTAAAAAGGCAAGAGGGTAAATTCTGAATACTGAAGCCACGTAGGGAAAAATCCAGTAGAGCTAAGACATTGGAAAAATGTATCCCGGAACACCTGGATGGCTCAGTTGGTCAAGTGCCTGACTCCTGATTTTGGCTCAAGTCATGATCTTACGATTCGTGAGATCAAGCCCCAAGTCAGGCTCCGTGCTGACAGCACCCGAGCCTGCTTGGGATTCTCTCTCTCTGCCCCTCCCCTGCTCACACGCTCGTGCTCTCGCTGTATTTCAAAATAAATAAATAAACTTTAGAAAAAAGAAAAAATGTACCCTACATACTTCTTCCAAACTATACCTAAGGCACCTTCATTCAACAATATCTATTCATTAAATACTATTTGCTAAACCAGGTTCTAAGTGCTGAATTTAGATTGTCTCATGGAGAAGCTGGTATTTGAGCAGTCTTGTCAGAGCTGAAACTATGAGCCATGCCAATATATAAGAAAGGCAAAAAAGAAGGAACTTAAGGCAAAAAAGAAGGAACGATAAATGTAAAAAGGCTCGTGAGCAAAACATGCCTGACTTGTACTAAAAAACAGTAAGAAATTCAGTGTCACTAGAAGAAAGCGGGCAAGCAGGAGACTAAACTGGGGGGAGGGGTACAACTTAGGCCTTTACTCGGAGAGGTGTGGGCAGGAACCAAAAACTTATAAACAGAGGTATGACATGATCTGACTTCTATTTTGACAGGACCTTTGCTGCTACGGTGAGAATAGGCGATTATCCAAATGAAAGATAATCAAATTTGGAGAAAACGTCCTTTAAATTAATACTATTGCTTCCTGCAAAAAGTATCCAATACTGGAGAGTTCTATATAAAAAAATCCATTGAAATTTGATAGCCGCCCAGAAGAAATAAACCCAAACACAAAAAACTGACCCACTCACCAATAGGTACTCTACAAAATACTCTGCCGGGATTGGAGACCTGAGAAGATTTCCTACGTTTCTAATTATAGAATCGCACTATAGTTGCCCACCACATTCTTGCGGAATGGTGTCACGGGAAATACTCCAATGACAGGTAATACCCACAAATTCATTACGTGATTTACCATTATCAATTAGCCATCTTAATGCTATCTATCCACTGTTACCGATTTCAAGAATTTAAATAAAAGCATGATATTTTTATAGTGTCTAGTAAAATACAATCTTTAGTAGCTTTAAAATATTCTATTTAATAACTAAAAATACTAGAATAATTCTAAAAATCCTAAATATTCTTAAAATTTTATCTATCCCAAAACCATCTCATGTAATATAATTTAGAACATAGGGCCAAAACTAAATGACAAAAAAAAGAAAAAGAAATTACACAGCCACAGAATCTTAAAGTATAATATTTATAAAATCTTTAGAAATATTAAATATCTAGGGGCACCTGGGTGGCTCAGTCAGTTAACCGTCCAATTCTTGACTTCAGCTCAGGTCATGATCTCAAGGTCCATGAGTTCAAGCCTCACCTCAGGCTCTGCGCTGACAGCGTGGAGCCTGTCTGGGATTCTCTCTGTCTCCCTCTCTCTCTGCCCCTCCCTCACTCACTACACTCTCTCTTTCTCTCTCCCTCAAAATAAATACACTTAAAAGAAATATTAACAGTGTCTGGGTCAAGCTAAATATTGGTCCCCTTTTTACTATGAATTTGTTAAATCACATCTAGAATCTTCTGTTCATTTGTGAGTATAATGTTAAAAGGGACCTTAATAAAGGGAAACATTTTCAGGATAAAAATAGCTAAAAATAGTGAGGCACCTGGGTGGCTCAGTCGGTTAAGTGTCCCACTTCGGCTCAGGTCATGATCTCACGGTTCATGGGTTTGAGCCCCACATCGGGCTCTGTGCTGACAGCTCGGAGCCCGAAGCCTGATTCAGATTCTGTGTCTCCCTCTCTCTCTGCCCCTCCCTTGCTCATGCTCGGTCTCTCAACAATATATAAATGTTAAAAAAAATTTTTTTTAAATAGCTAAAAATAAAAAGTAATGAAGAACAGAAATACCGAAAATATAGAAAGGAGTAAAAGTAATAAAGATGTTTAAACTACAGAAAAATAGGCCTTAGGGTTTGGTGAAATGGGAGAGTAAACACATGACAGATTACAAATACTTGAAGGGAAGAAAAGTTGTCATTATCTATACTTTTTCGCATGGTAGTCCCAGGACCAATGGATAAAAGTGATAGGGGGTGTGTATTTTAGTTCGAAATAATAAAGATAACAAATAGGAGGTTTGCAAAAGAGAATAAAGGATGCCTCGGTGACACACACACACAAGATTTAGCCACCACTAAAAACGTACAACTAGATGTGTTGGGGATTCCTATGATAGCAAGTGGTTAAAATTCTATGGTTCTAAAACATAACAGGACTAAGTTCAAGGCAGTCTCCTTGTGTTATAATTGCACATGCAGGTATTCATTACTGGATAAAAGAAATAAAAGGATGATGTTCCTGAAACGTCTGTTCATAGCATTCTATTTGCACATTAATTTGCCACTGAAGAATCATGGATAAGTTCCTCAAAAAAACTTTTGGCCCTCCACACATAATAAAGTCATACTTAAGACTACTTTCGTTTTTTTTTTTAACGTTTACTTATTTTGAGAGAGAGAAAGAGAGAGGGCAAGACATAGTACGAGGGGGGGAGGGCCAGAGAGAGAGAGAGAGAGAGGGAGAGAGAGAATCCCAAGCAGTCTCCGTGCTGTCAGCGCAGAGCCTGAAGTGGGGCTCAACCCCACAAACGGTGAGATCATGACCCGAGCCAAAATCAAGAGTCAGACGCTTAACCAGCTGAGCCACCAAGGCACCCCAATACTTAAGAATACTTTTAAAATGTCCGTATATCAGGAAAGCATTACTCCAGACAGAACAAAAAATAGAAATAAACAGCAAGCTATACTGTGTGAGGTGGAAGCATTGGCGAGAAAGAAATGCCTTTCAAAGTCCTTCTAGACGGACTAAGAATCAAACTGACATGAGACAAATTAACAAGAGAAAATGAAATCCTGTTTCTTAAGTACGGAGAATCCATACCAACGTGAAATTCCCAAGACAGGCAAGAAGAGGCTTATATGACATCCTGAGCTAAGGAGAGGGGTAAGAGTCTGGGGATACAAAGGAGGAAGAGCATTATTAGCAGGAAGGTGAGAGGACATGTTTGGAAAACAAAGTGTGCTGGATTATTCAAATAACTTTCTTAGGCAAAGAGGAACCTCTGTTAATAGTGCCTATCCTGGTACAGGCTCTCCTTTCCACTGTAAATTTAGACAGTTGAGGTGGGGGACTAAAGAACTTTTCCTAAATCTGTTGGATGGATTGCTTCTAACTCAAAAGAAGCATGCCAAAGTGCCCATCCTGGCCTGCCCTTGGCCCCTCCAGAAAGTAACAGAAAGATGAGAAAACGGACCAATGTTTTGAGGAGATAATTATGTTTCTCTCAAAGTTCAATGTCCTTTAATACCTAAAATGTCCTGTACAAGGTAATTACTTTATTCCTTTATTTCTACAATCAGTTGTACACAATGGCCTCTTTCTATCTTGGTCCCAAAAGTGTTGTAAAATCACATGAGAATATAGAAGCGCGAGAGCTATTTTGTTCATTCTACTTTGCAGGCATTACACTCTCTTCCTTTATTCCCTTTCTCTGAGGCTTTCATAGCAGCCCCGGTCGAAGACCTTTACTGCCCCCAAAGTGCACAGACAAATGCTTACTGGTTTGAAAAGCATTTCTCAAAGCTTATAAGCAAACCTTCTGACCTCACTAGGACTGAGAAACAGCCAGGCTCTTAATGTGGCTGTGAGCTAAAATCAGACATAAGCAATGGGATCTCAAAATTTTACTACGGTGAACACAGGCACATACCAAGTTATTCTTTAAAAAAAATTGCACTGAAATTCCATAAAAAGCAATCTTCCAAAAGCATGTTATGCATATTACACACAATACATTATTATACACGACCGATACAACTGTTTTACTCACCAATTCCATTAAGTCTTTTAACTTCCCAATTTCTTCCGGAACGGATACCAGTTTATTATTACTGACGACCAAAACTTTAAGGGGAAGGTCAAATAGGTATTTTGGCAATGTTGACAAAAGATTTCGACTGAAAAGAATAAGAGAGTCTCATTATGAGATAGGTCTGAAATTTCTGCTCTGTTGAAAAAAGAACAAATCACCTCAAAAGTAAATAAAAAGCTTCACCAAATAATAACTATCATTTAATGAGTGCTTACTCTGTATCATACTAAAAGCCTTAAATGTAGTATCTCCTCTAATACTCACATTAACCCCGTAAGGCAGGTTAGCAGCACTATCTCTATTATACAAATAAGAAAACAAAGGTTACAACTGTGTTAAGTGACTTGCCCAGTCACAAAAGACTGCAAAGCCTGTGTTGTCACCTAGGATACTGTCTTACACGCCATCAGTTCTCAAAACCCAGAATCATTCTTCTGCGCTAGAAAATGCCAGAACCTTGTTCTCTGGTCTCATTTCACCGCATTCAATACCTCCATGCCTTTACCTAAGGAAAAGTCCCAAGGATAAGTTTGCACATGCCACCATGTTAAAACATTTATAAAAGAATGACTGGGGGGCGCCTGGGTGGCGCAGTCGGTTGAGTGTCCGACTTCAACCAGGTCACGATCTCGCGGTCCGTGAGTTCGAGCCCCGCGTCGGGCTCTGGGCTGATGGCTCAGAGCCTGGAGCCTGTTTCCGATTCTGTGTCTCCCTCTCTCTCTGCCCCTCCCCCGTTCATGCTCTGTCTCTCTCTGTCCCAAAAATAAATAAACGTTGAAAAAAAAAAAAAAAAAAAAAAAAAGAATGACTGGGGCTACATGTTCAAAAACATGTAGTAACCCTAATCCATTCCCTTTTCTTATGAGTTTATGGCATAAGGGCCCACCCACACCGTTATCTCGGATCAAAGCTGACAGAACATTCCTATCTCTGTGGATATAGCACAACTAACATTAGAAACAACTAACCTAAATATAGCAACAACTCGCATTTATTGAGTACATACTACGTGTCGGGCCACGGTCGGAGTACCTCCCATGAGTTAACTTTGCTAACCCTCACAACAACCTGCTTTAGGAAGAGAGAGAATATCACGATGCCCATTTTACAGATGAAGAATCAGTCAAAAAGAGATTAAGCAAACTGCTCCAAGTCACACAGCTGGGAAACAGGAGAGCCAGGATTCAAATCTGGGCAGTAAGGCTCTGGGGTCCTTCCCCTCAACGTACGTACGGTGGGTCAAATTCACACACCAATGCAGACTGACCCAAATGGTCCCTGCTATAGATTCAATGTTTGTGTTCCCCACAAAATTATAATGTTGAAACCTAATCCCTCATGTAATGGCCTCTGGAAGTAGGGCCTTTGGGAGGTGATCGGGTCATACGGGTGGAGCCCCCATGAACGGGTTTAGTGCCCTTATAAAAAAAATACCTCAGAGAGCTCCCTTGCTCCCTCTGCCAAGTGGGGACAGCTAGACGACGGCCGTTTATGAAATCAGGAAGCAGGTCCTCACCAGACACCAAATCTGCCGGTGCCTTGACCTTGGACTTCCCGCCTCCAGAAATGTGAAAAGTAAGTTTCTGTTGTTTACAAGGCACCCAGTACATGGCATCCCGTCATAGCAGCCCAAACAGACTAAGACAATCCCCCTACTAAAAAAATATAAAGTATACCATTACATTTACACACTAACAAGTATTCATAAAAATAAGCTATTATTTTTCCTGTTTTTCAAAGTGGCAGTGATAGACCTGTACCTAGCATTGTGCGGAACATACACAGCAACAAAAACCCAGTGGCAGCCCAAGGAAGAACATCAGGACCTCTCCCTCCCCATGTTATGCCTGCAGAGGACATCCAGAAATACTAGATTGGCTTTAATCACAAGGAACAGACTTAAAAAAATAGACAATGCCCCTAGACCAGCAATCCTGGCCAGGCTGCTGGAATGTCAAATATGCCAGGAGCTTGTTACAATTCTTGACGCTTTCAGGATCAAATAGAATCCTTGGGAAGGTGCCCTTGTGGAGCACACAAGGATCTTCCTACAGAATTCTTCTAAAAAAGGGAAGAACACACAGGAAGAAAGAGCTGAAAAAGCATCTTACAAGTTTCTCAAGGTATTTTCACCAAAATAAAAAACAAAGTAAGTGAGGAAAATAACAGCACATACAAACTCATTCTAACCTTCCCCAGACCAAAAAAAGTTAAAAATTGGTCTATTTTGGGGGGGGGGGAGCATCTGGCTGGCTCAGTGGGTAGAGCATGCGATTCTTGATCTCAGGGTTGTGAGTTCAAGCCCCACGCTGGGCCTAGAGCTTATTTAAAAAAAAAAAAAAAGCCTATTTTCCTCCTTTAAGAAGGTTCATTGAGGGGCGCCTGGGTGGCGCAGTCGGTTAAGCATCCG